CCCCCCCCAAAATAGACAGTATGGGGTACCATGTGAGGTATAGATGCATGGATATAATGGGTAATGTTTAAATCGGGGTAAACATTTATTTACTCACTTATCATTTCCTAGTCCCTACCTCTCCCTCCGCCCACAGGGATAGGGATGTGATCTAGAACCTTATGCATGCCAGGCCAGGGCTCTACCACTGAGTTGTGTTCTCAGCCCAAATATTTATCCTATCTATGATGAAAAAGTTCAAAATTCTTTCATCCAGCCTTTTGAAGCCAATGGTACATTATCATTATCTATAGGCACCTTAGGATGCAATAGCACATGAGAGAATCTTCCTCTTATCTAACAGTAACTTTCTATCAACCTCTTCCCATTCTTCCTTCTTTCTAGTCTCATGAGCCTCTGCTAACAAGAGCAGCTCTTCTTATTTCTGTTAGATTAACTTCTTTTTTTTATAAAAAAGATAGGGTCTTGCTATGTAGCCCAGACTGGTCTCAAATTCATCTTAAATTCAAGATTCCAGGTTATTGGCATGCACCACTATGTCGGGCTTATGATCAACATTTTTAGATCCCACACATGGGGAAGATTCTGAGGTAGGAAAAGAACAAAGACCTGTGTGAGACTTTGACGAGTCTTGGGTTCTTAATTATCTCACAGATAGAATCAGAGAGAGGAGGGAAAGAGTTTATAGGCACAGAGAATGGCAGCCTGAAGACCTCAACTCCTCTATTTTCTAGCAGCCTGTAGCAATTGGAAGCATTGTGCCTGGGCTTAATGGTTCGTCCATGAGTTTATTATCTCTATAAGAGATAGAACTCATTGGGTAATAGACATTGTATAACAATTGTATAACAATTCAGTATAAATATTGATGGGAAAAATGATGATTTTCTTCTAGCAACAGGCCTACATAAAGTCTACAGGAGGTAGGAGGTTTCAGCTTTAAGCAAATCCAACAGTGGGCAAAACAAGAGCCTAACCTTTCACCACCATAACTTCTAACCTCTGGAGCTCCCTCCTCCTCCTCCTCCTCCTCCTCTTCCTCCTCCTCTCTCTCCTCTCTCCTCCCCCCCCCCCCCCCCCCCATTCAGAAGCTGAACTTTATGGGCCCCAGATGAGCTGTTCTGAATTTGGTGACAAGTCTGGCATGCTCCTGAGTCCTGCCTCTAGGAGGAGCCCCAGCTCTCTTAGAGGTATGTGTGCACCCCAATCACAAGTCACCAAGCTGCTGACTGCTGGAGGCCCAAGCCAGCTGGATTTAGTGAATTGACTTTTACAGGTACATGGCCATGGCCATTCATTCCTATCTTGACGAAGGCTGCTTGTGTGTACAATGGCAGAGTTGAGTAGTGATGACTGAGGCTCTAAGGTCTGCGAAGCCTCATGTACTTATTATCTAGCACTTTATAGCAAAAACATTTCTGCCCCCGGCTTGCACTGTAGGTTCAGGGCCAGGAATGGCAATGGGCACAGTCAGAGCTGGAATATGATTTGAGTTGTGGGAAGAACACTTTCAGTGAAGGAGGATGGGAGTGTGTAACAGATAAGGGGGAGACAGGATCGTCTTCCTGGCTCACACCGAGTTC